GCGAACAAACGATCCTGTCACCAACAGTCTCAACTCATTAGCTCGTTTGCCCATCAACTCCATTTAAGACCTATCCCCACATTCGGTTGCTCTGGCTCCAATCTAATTCATGCTCATACAACTAAAACTGCTGCTAAACCAAATTGCAGCCATAGACATTCAACAAAACTTGCCTATATATATTTGGCTGTCTGCTCATCTGCCCATCCGACTCTATGCATTTTAATTGGTTTGGGTAAAGTAAGTAATATTATTAGGAAGGTTATCCCTTCCTTTGACTGAACACAATGCGACTCTTTAGAGCCGGTTATTTAAAAGTCGGTACTTACATTTCCTGCTCACTTGGCTGGCTAATAAGAGTAATTCAGTTTTATCAACAATTCTGCTCGGAATATTATCTCCGAATAGTATTCCTTGATAGGGTTTTGCTTAAAAACCTTGTCTTTCAAAGTAAGTAAAATAATTGCCGTCGAAAAAAATGATTTTACAACTTAGCCCAAAAAGCTAATCGAATCCTGGATACTTGATACGGCTGAGTTCGATAACACATCTTTTACAGGTGGCTCAACGCACAGTTCCAGATAATGACAAATCAACGGGTTAAGTAACTGCAACGACTAATGATACTTGTCATACGAAGAGTAGATGCCAAAACTTTAATTCCTTCCCAATTACTTTGTATGAGAATAGAGTGCTAATTACCATACAGAAACACCTCAAAAATCCGAATATAAACGATCTCAAGGAATCAAGTTTTGTGTTATATTAGTTCTTTACTCTAACAAAAAGTTATATAACCCAGAAAAATCTTGAACATACTAATTCCATCACTTGCAATTATAAAATTGTGACAGTTGGAGGGTATTTGATCAAGCCTAAAAAAATCCAATTCAGCTTTAATATTTAGCACAAAAACAAACGGCCTTTATTTCAATCAATTATAGGGATGGTGAGGAGGATAACTGTAAAAAGGAGCCCACTAAAGGTGCGTATATTAACGGTTCCAAGCACAATCATTTTTGCAATCATACTGAAAGTGTATAAAGAAGATCCACCATCTGACTGAGTATTGAGGAGTCAATCTAGCTAATAGTTGGAGAAAGTGATTCAGTATAATAGTCATCACTAATAGATGTAGATTTTTTTAAACGTACAAGGGTCTTGAGAATGGTTGTTGTCTGAGCTATCTCTACTTATTATTTCCTCCATATGGTTATGCGGACAAGGTGAAGAATATAAAGCTTTTTAGAATCTATCTCTATGAGCATTTTAGCCTACTACGCAAAATAGGTGAAGGCTCTAAATATTCACGACACAAAGGTCTTAACGTCCAAATAAATCAACTCCAAATAGGTACATATCGTTAGTTTATCCATCTAAGATGGCCCTAAGCTCACGTGAAAGGTGCGCCAGGTGGTGTTTACTTTTTGGATACCATAGTCACTATTACAGTTGGCTCAATGCAAGATTGCTTAAATCAGAATTATTTATTTTCCAAAGTGTGGTTTTCCGGTAGCAACTCGAGCATTTGCTATAAGAAGGGCTGTCTAAGGTGAATATAGAGAATTTGGCCTTGCCTGGCGATCCGGCCTTCCCGGTGTCATTGCCATAGTGACCTGTCCGGGCAGCATCAGAGAATGTGGCATGCCTTGGCGGTGATCTTCTCTTGGTGGTCCGATGCCGGTCGCCGTGGCCTCATCTGAGCCTGTCTCGTAGCCACTAAACGTTTTCTGGTCTTCCGCCAACACCGTCATGCCGGCGGGACAGAACTGGAGACCTCCACAGCTCCCGGCGCCACCACCGACACACTCTATCCCCGGGTAGGTTGCCATGAGTGCAGTGGCGGATGAAGTGGCCCCAACAGGGAATATCATGGGCATCTCGCCCTGGTAGCTGGAAGCTGAAAAAAGGTTGGTCAGTCGATCGCATTCCCCCCTTTCCTCGCCAGGTCTTTCCACATCGCTGCCGTATCCGGATAGCATGGCTACAATGGCATTCGGCTTATTGGGCATTGAACCTACCAATATGGATGCTTGAGATGACGAAGCTGAAGGGAGTTGTTGGTGGGGAAAGTGGGAAGAATGAATATTGGAAGGGTGTAGATGATTACTTTGCTGCAGTCCAGTGGAGGGGAGAATTCTGAGAAATTGTTCACTGGAGTCTGGAGGCGAGGAGGCAGTGGATGTGACGAGGAGCGGCAAGAGGGTGCCGGTTGGCTGGCCGGTATTTACACAAGATCGTTGATTCATGGCTGGACAAGAAGAGAAAGAAGACGAAAATGGCTCATCTACAGAGCCGTGATAAGCGAATACGCCATGTGTTGTCGTTGAAGGAGAATGTACAACCAATGCGGAAGCATCAGAGGCGGTGTAGAAGGCCGGATTGAAAGTCTCTTCATTTGTCTGAAATGAGGCAAGAAGATGCGTCTTTTGACCTGTCGCATGATAGGCTAGATTGGCTTGTTGCTGATTTTGCCGTTGAATGTTATGAAAACCTGGCAAACGGTAAATCTGGCCCTTTGATTGCTCTGATGCTAACTGCTGTAGACCTGCATTGGATTCGAGTCTGGGGTTGAGAATTCCGGCATCCCGCCGAGGCTCAAAGGAGTCGCCGTTGTTTCGTGGTATCAATTCTACGGGATCAGCTTGTTGGTAGCCTGCCGGTTTCACGTTTTGACAAATGGGTTGAATTAATTGAAATATACTAAACAACAGATTGGCTTAGCTAATTTGTAAACATAAATGAGTAAAAATAACTTCTAAGTATAGTGAAAAGAAATGATAAAATGAATTGCATTTTAGGATACAGCGCTAAGTGAAGGGAAATACAACAGGACAGGGGAGCGAAAAGATGCCATGACCTGAACTTTGAAAAGTCGGGTTAAGTTTCTCTCACCTCGCCTTAATGATGATCATTGCATACAAACAATGCACCTACACCCAATTACGTAAGGAAACAGCAGTGGGCAAATCCGCATCCTTTTCAGACATCAACCACGCACATCTGTATGCATGTAAATTAAGCATAAATTAGCCGAATTAATCTTAAGATGATTTATTTGCATACAAAAATTAGGCTTAAGAAACAAGTACGATTGCAGTCAGCATTCTTATTTGGTTTAGAGTATGAGCGCTTTGCCCTAAATAATGGTTTCTGCTTCCAAGGATGCCCATCACAGCGGTACAGATGAATGCTCAACTCGGATTCATCGAGGTCACTGGGCGATAAGCAGAGGACTTCCTTCACTAAAAGGCAAGCTTTCTTCGGTTTCCCGCGAGACCAGCTCACAAATCCCTTACGACTAGATGTTTTCTTCAGACGACTAGTTAAGCGGCATTAAATTATTAAGGCATTTTTCGAAAATCAGCCTTTCTTCATTTATACATCAAGGAAAAAATCTGTTAATAAAATTGAATTAAAGAAAAAACTGGGTTTTGAAGAATGTCACAATAATATTGTAATATGATTTTCCATTTAGAAGGAAAAGTATTTTCGAATAAATTCGTGAAATGTTCTCACAGGATAACGAAGAAGGATTGATTGGGAGTGAAGACTATTCGATTGGGCAAAGAAGTCCTCGGCACATCGTAAAGCGACTCTGGTTGACCTGCGCTAAGCCTTCGTCTGTACTGTGACAGATAAAATCAGAGCAAGAATTCATACTTTGCGAAATAGTGCAAAAAATGTACTAAAACAAGAGAAGAGATGACAGGCTGCAAACCTAGTCACTTTTTTATGCATCTATCCGTGCGATCTTACTGACGCATCCCAAAATTTGGTTGGCCACCTAACACTGAATTTACATGCATGCAGATGAGTGAATTTAATTTAATAAATAAACTAGTGTACGATCCTCTAATGTTGACTTATGTTTGGGTTTGTGATATTGTTTATTGTGCGTATGCAATGTTCATGTAATGAGAAGTGTGATATTCCTAGCCCCCTCTTTCTCAGCGGCTCTTCCCACTCTGCTCATCTTCACTTCTTAAGCCTATCTAACAGCCACAAATAGTTTATACTCAATTTTCTACACTCGTTCCTTCTATTCAGAATGTTAGCTGTTTTGTCAATTTCTATAGGTGCCCTAATTTTACGCTTTGGTGTCAAGTCCCCGTAACCATGAGTTCAACGAGCTCCGATTTTTGGATCCATAGGCCTTTGCAAGAAGTTTTGTGTTTGCATAAATAATTATGGAGGGGTTGGCACCTCTCCTCTATACAGACATTATCACATTAGCACAGAACCTTGTAGCGACCTAGAAAGAGGGTCTGAATAGTCGCGAAAACATGGCACTATTGGGGAAAGTGTTAATTTCACTTCATACATTGTTCTGATGTTTCACTCCTTCAGTAGGTCACCTAACCGTTTTGTAAAATCAGGAACTAAGTAAAATGGTCCCTGTGGTTTACATCTGCTAGACGCAGACTTCTTATCATCGTTGAATAATCCCGGTGAGACCACCTCACGATTTTCTTCCAACCAACTTGACCTTTGAAATGGAAAGTCATGTTACA